TAAACGAATTTATCGTTATATTCCAACCTGGAAGGGTTGCTTTTGCTCGAGTCTTGTTAAATAAAATGTGGTGACGATCGTGCTTCAGTTCATTCACAACCCTCGACGTAAGAAGAAATTATTAAAAATGGCACAATTCCAGTTTGAAAAATGTAGACAGATACGATGTCCCATCGAATCCTTGATTTTCTACTTCTAAGACAAGGGAACATGTTGGCAAGGTGTGTAAACGTTTCGTAGTTTTATGGATGGTCATCGAACATGGAAGCAATTATCACGATGGCACGCAACCACGTTTACGACTAATTGCTTCGGCTCTTTTCCTTCGGGATCCCTCTCTCCATTTTTCTACCTCGTAAAAGGTAATACGCGAGCCATTGTCCTGCAGTAAAAATTCGTCAGGAAACCACGGTAATGGCTACTAAAATTTAGCTAAACACTCGACGCTAATTGCCTGTTGTAAACATTCTTATATTTTTCTTTCAGCTTTGACCGCATGTTTGAATTTCATGTATTATTCTTCTTCACACATCGTTATAGGAAATGTGTATACGGGCATTGTATCAAACAGTATCAATTGTTACATCGATCATTAGGCGAAGCATCGCGTCAAATCTTGTATCGAGCGTCACACCAATTATTATATGAAGTGTATTAATATTTATTACAGCTTGTATTAGCTGATGTATGAATGATACATGTAATTTTGCAATCCTTAGAAATGTACAGAGTTTACTTCTATCAGGTTTCAAATAGGCCCCGGAACGATCGTTTCGTATCAGGATTCACGAGCGTCTCCAGAACGTTCCCTCAAGTAAATTCAGTGAAGTGCTCCTGCGAGATTTCGCGAAGACTTGAAATTTTCACGAGCGAACCTCTTTCCGCATATATGAAAATCGCGGATTCGCTTGTTGGACGTAAATTCGATGTAACGATAGCGAGCGGAGAACGCGATGTAAATCAACGCTCCTCTGCCACTAGAGCGAGAGAGAGACGGAGTAATCCCGATTATATCCCCCTTTTAACCATTCCGCTTTGCGAATATTCAATTAGGCTAGATTGCAACCCGGATTACGCGTCGCGATGTTTTGACGTCCAATCTTCAGAGTACTCTGACGGTTCCGCGCGACGCAGTGCCACCGGAATTTATTTCCAACGAGATGAATGTTTAATCGACCGCATAATTAATGATCCGACCATGAATCGGTCTGAACATTTTTAAAGAATATTAACACTGGAAAGACTGAAACTTAGTATATACCTGTATTGCCCAAAGCAGTCAAAATGACTGCATTGTGAAAGAGTAATGTGTAAAGAAATTTGTCTAAAATTAATTTTTAATATTTTTTATATTATTTACAGTCATATAACAAGTTGTTAGTAAATGTTAACAATAAAAAAAATTTACTTCACTTGGGAAAAAAAATAATTTATGCATTATTATTTATACATTTGCCCAAAAGCAGTCAAAATTACTTCCTTGGGCAATCTAGTGTTAAGGAAGAGATTTTTTATGTTTGGATAAGGAATAGTAAGGAATAACTAAAACTATTCGAATCCCAAATAGACATTATATTTTGCATAATAATCGGCGATCAAATAATATCGAAAAATAACTATGGGAATCGGATTTTCGATGCGAAGGACGAGAGAGAGGGAGAGAACTGGTAGCGAACATTGAAGGATTTGCTCGGGACGAAGAGAAAGACAGGAAGGGAATTCGAACCGAATCTCTATTTTCGCAGGCTGGGCTTTAGAATAGACGCGATAAGGATCTTATAACTGTACAGACCGGGGAGCGAAGAAACTGGATGGATGTGGCGGGGTGTTGTGAAATATAAAGTAAACTACCTGACATTGTCGCGATACGAAGAGGCGCATCGCCGCTTGAATATTGATGCATCCCTGGCTAGAGAGCCGAAGGGAAGATGAAAGGGCCTTGGCTTGCCCTGCTTCGGCTTTTTAATAATGAATTCGCCCTTTCCACCCCGCGGACTTTGTACCAAACGTTCCCTTCAATTCCCTCCGAACGTATGATGGAAAATCATGGATAATTCCTACAATTTTAAACAGAAAGTAATAAGATTTTATTTATAATGTACATTAAGATCTTTTTTGAAACAGTTGAGGTTTTTAGATGAGTGGCATAGGAAGGGGGAAAAAAAGGATGTGACAGTAGCGGGCAGACGACTAATGCTTTTCTAAAACGGGCGTAATCGCGTCAAGGGCTTAATATGCCCTCGAACCACACTTCCAACCCCAGAATCGACTGATAGGCTTCATACTTTCGCTAACGTGATTTTATGTCGTCGACCCAACGATACCGTGGCTGCTGACGGTCTTCCAGACTTTTCACGCTAATCATTCATCTTATTAGAACTAAGTATATGTCAGTCAATATAGTAAAGACAATTATTCAAGACAATTCGATTCAACATTCGAAACAACGTTGTAGGATTGGTCATTTGATCGAGGATCGTGAAATAAAAATGCCAAGTTTCGTTTTTGTTCATTTATTGATGAAATTCAACGAAACGAAAAGAATATATTATTTATTGATAAGGCTACTCGTATAACTAATCTTTGGTATTTGAATATCTCGGCTGTTTTATACTTCAAGCGGCACCTGCTGGTAAACATTATAGCACTCCATGGAATCGGTTGAATCGATGCCGTTCCACGATGGTAAGAGAAAGGTTCGTGCTCCTCGGTTCTGAGCTTGGCTACTCTACAGTTTACAGTTCTCTACTGGCTTCGCAATCAATTTTTTTTTATAAAAATTATAATAAATCGTAAACAAAATTATATTGATGAATCAATACTGTGCGATACGATTAATAACTATTTTAACATCATGCCATGAATCATGAATCTTACGCATTGGAATACATAAAACTTAATTTAATCATTTATTAATTATTCTCAAATTTTCATACTCTCGTAATTTCTGATTTGTTTACGCGTTGCATAATAGCGCCCAAGACTTATAGAAGGGGTTGTACATTGCGAAACTTGGAAGCGGTATCGCGGGCTTCCAGTCGGTCGGACAAACGACCGATCGATTATCCGTGACCGGGCACTGGTTTCTGCCACCGGAACGAATTTATCGGGAGCCCGTCGAATAAGTAAACTGGCTACGTTTGGACCGGTGCGGTGGAAACTTTGCTGATCGGATTATTCGCCAACGTTCGGGACATTACAGCCGTGGTTCGCCGCGAGGAATTGCGTTCAGAGTTTGCCTTCGTACCACTTCTGCTAAAGCCAACCAAGTTGTTTCTGTTGACGCTTTACCCCCTTTCCGTTTCAGAGTTAAATGTGCTTACAAGCTTCGATGGGAAGATCGAAAGACGTTNTTGCATAATAGCGCCCAAGACTTATAGAAGGGGTTGTACATTGCGAAACTTGGAAGCGGTATCGCGGGCTTCCAGTCGGTCGGACAAACGACCGATCGATTATCCGTGACCGGGCACTGGTTTCTGCCACCGGAACGAATTTATCGGGAGCCCGTCGAATAAGTAAACTGGCTACGTTTGGACCGGTGCGGTGGAAACTTTGCTGATCGGATTATTCGCCAACGTTCGGGACATTACAGCCGTGGTTCGCCGCGAGGAATTGCGTTCAGAGTTTGCCTTCGTACCACTTCTGCTAAAGCCAACCAAGTTGTTTCTGTTGACGCTTTACCCCCTTTCCGTTTCAGAGTTAAATGTGCTTACAAGCTTCGATGGGAAGATCGAAAGACGTTTAAGTAATCATTAAATTTTTTAATTATTGCATAATTAAAAATTGGATGTCTGCTGAGTTTAAACATTTTCTAAAGTATTTGTTAATTTATAAACACGAGGAATTCGGGTCAAGAAGGGATAACAAAGAGTAGCAATGTACTTTCGCCGCGGCATGAGTCACGCTCTGCAATATCAAGATATACATTTTCCTTACAAATCGTACACAATAGTAATACCTAGTAATAATATCTATCTATATTATTCTATTCCACGCATCAAGTCTGACAGTTTTATGGAAACAAGAGTGTCGAGTAATCGCACTTGCAATGATTTACACTTTTGCATTCGAGGCCGATATAGACACGGATCGTCTTTACGTAACAATTACCAATTATTATCAATTAATTCGGTGCTAACGATTAATTAACGCCAGTATTGCGTCATGTAAACCGGTTCCCCATAAAATCGGCAAATAAACTAACGTGCGATTTAGGATAGAAATAGTTTCTAACCATTTCGCAGGAAAGTGTCTGCGAGGCCGGTCGAACGGCTTTCAAAATCCTGTGGCGAACGGGACTGGTTTCGGGACACCCCACGGAAGAATGTTCACGGACTATCACCTCGAATTCGCTCGGTCTCTCATTAACTCCATAAGTTGTTACGTAATAATATTAGCGACACGTGGTACACCGCGAGCCTAAATATCTACCGAAGCGTGGACTCGCGGAATACATATTCTTTCCATATCGAAACCGCGACCGACCGACGTGGTCAATTTCCGGGGCACCGTCACAATTTTCTCACGACGTTTTTGCGGTTTCCGTGTTACCCTAGGAAAATTTAGGAATTCGTGACAAAAAGTTTGGAATAAGTGTCACGTTCTCCGGCACACAAGTACTTGAAAACATCGAACAGAATCGTGCTTCGTACTCCGGACGTGAAACTCATGACTAGGAATTGCTTTCCCTTTCGTTAGGACATCTTCTGTTATTAACTTCGTTTTGCGACAGTGTAGCAAACGTCAATTTCGCGTAATTGCATTGGTGCTGCTTCCGATTTTATTATACGCTTGCTGCGCTTTCTTCCGTGTGATTGCTCGAGCATTAAAGTACACGAGTGATGTAAGATCACGGGCAAAATAGAGAACCAGGATCGTCGTAAAAGTATTCACATGGTAACCGAACCAGAAACCTAAAAACAGGTAATGCGAATGTCTTGATTAAAAAGTTAGTTGATTTTGCAAATTATTCACTTATCAGTGTACACTTCGATCCAATATAAAATAAACCGAGATATGTATTTATTTGAAACGACAATTAGAAATCGACGATATAAAATACAAATGACGGTCTCGTTATTCTAAACACGTAAATACATAAGTAGATTTAGATAGACGAGTCAGACGCGTGGTTGCTCCGTAGAGACGCGTACGTAATTAAGATCGTCCAGACGAGCAAAATTAAGTCGAACGGTAAGTCTTAATGATCCGACGGACGTCTCGTTAATCATTGACGGAGGGAAAAAGATAGAGGCATCGATTAACCGAGCTGACTCAGCGCAGCGTGCGAAACTGTCGATGCGGATTCCATAAGACGGAACTGAGCTTCTTCCTTTTCCAAACTTGAAATCCCGTTTACACCTTACAGATCTTGTACTCACATGCTTATCTTATTATCATGATAAGAGATAAATTACAGAAATGATTTACACGATTTTATAAAAATATATAATTTCGTTTTACTCAACAGTTCATTAATTATACATGAAAATAAAAATTCAAACAAACATAGCATTCCATTAATTATGGAAAGAACAGATTTCTTTACAAATGTATTTACTACAGAGGAGTTATAATTTTCTGCAGTACCAAAGCTATTTGAACAAATTCCTAAGCACACATTGTAACATATTTCCTTAATTTCGTGCCGCGATTTCATTCAGTTAATGTTTACGTTGCACGTAATTGCGTTAAGGAAATCGGTTTTTGCGGACGAGATTCGATAATCGATCGAGACTCGTTTTACCTGGAGCAAATCGGTCGAGAGGTAAACTTTCGCAAGGTCCCTTCACGCGATTTTTATCAAACGCCTTTTTGTCACCGCGCGTACGTGACTCGATGCATTATCCAACGGTTATCAGTCACCGTGAACACCGTGAAATGACGATTTTCACGGGGTATTGCTCAGTTGGACCGACCGCAGCTATGACATAATAATAGGGAGTGTTCTCGTTAAACAACTAACAAGTTTATCGAACCAGGATTTGTACACGGCTATCGGTTCCACGCAGATTGATCCAAAGTGACTGGGCCGATAGATCCGTGAGCCGATGGGACAAACCAGGCTCCCGTGTGGTCCGCATACCTCGCCGCATTTCGATTTCAAGTGCAGCTCGATCGATCAACTGGTGCAATAGCCAAGCACGCGTACGTACGTTTACGAAACTACGTTGACTAAATTATCTAGAATTTTCAAAGCTTATCTGATACGCAAATCGAAATACAATTATATATATCCTCGGTGAACATTATCGGTGATCATTTGACATTAACAATAAATTAAATTAGCTTTGAGGATTCACCATATGATTGCACAAATTTTTGCTTTCTAATAATCTTATAAAGCTGACGTTGATCGAGGTTCTGTTGTACTGACGTATGTTATAAAAAAACGTTAACGATATATTATATATTAGTCATTTCTATACAAATACTGCTAAGGGTGCTGTTGGGTGCTAGACGCACCACGAAGAATATGATACAAAGACGATCCAGAGGTCCACGATTACTAAATCGTTCTTTAGCCTCCTTCGAACTTCCATACCACTTCCCCGTCGATGGCAGTGTTTACGGCCATTCCGAATACTCTCCTACCTCCGCTGTCCGTTAATAGTAAAAGTACCTGTAGAAAGCTGAAACAGAACGTTAACGATAGTTCTGAGATTACTCTCAACATTCGTTTCTAAAGCGTAAAATTCGCTTTCTCCTCTAACAAATTAAAAATCGGATTCCCTAAAACCCGCACCATGTCTAATTTCATTCCCTTGTTTTCGATTCCATTAAATTTCAATATAACACGCATGCTTTAATCTTTCATTTTCTACTTGTGTCTTCGATTTCACGAGATATTAATAGGTACTCGTAGAAATTGAACTGAATTTCGTTTCCCACATCGGAAGTCAATTTTCTGTGAAATCAAATTTCTCCAGAGATCGACGAGTTTCACCCAGAAAAATATGAAACAAGTTTAATTTCCTGAGGTATAACTGAATGCGGTCCGTCGAACAGCTGCTCAGAATTGTATCGGCGAGAGGCAACTAGATTCGCGGATAAGATCAGTCGACCGAAGTCCTGTTTCTGCGCGTTAATCGCCGGGACACCTGACCGGTAATGAGAAGTCAGACCACGGGACCACTTCAAAGCTGCTAATTACAGAACCCTCGTCACCCTCCGTCCACGAATATTTCCCACTGGCATCAGCCTAAGCGCTCGCTTTTCCGTTGCTGGTCGCTGACAATAAAGTTTAACCGAGAGGGGAGAAAGCTGCGGGATCCATTAGGCCGTTCCGAAAGGGCGATCTTAAATTTTGACCCCCTCGGGCTGGGAACAGCCTGAAGAGTGCTTGTGCATTAAGGATTGAGGGTGCCGCTTCCCATTTCTCTTTCGTTTGAGTTCTCTAAAGCATTTGCTTATTTATAGAACATATTGTTTTCGTGTTCCAAAAAATATCGAACATTAATTGAAAAAGATTCTTTACGTACAAATAGTACCCGATAAATTATTGACACTAGAAAGACTGAAACTTAGTATATGTGAGCCGTTCAGTGCACACATCGATTAACTCCACTTTTTGAAAAATCTTAAATTTATGTGTCAAAGCACTTGGTATAGTCATAACTTTTTATATTTATAATAACTTTCCTGAATAATAAAGATTGACACAATTAAACGGCAAAATTTTTTTGGCCATTGAAAAATAAGTAATTTATTTCAGAAGCCATTTTGATTATGTTTTGGCTATTCTTTCTTGTTAATTGTATACACCGTTAAATGAAAGCTATATCTCTATTTATGCATTCTATATTATATATGTGAATCTATATTATAACAGGAATTTCCTTGGGCAATCTAGTGTTAAACAGCGAATATAGAGTACTCGATCCGTCATACGATAAACGTGAATGATAGAGAAATCAGGGGTCGAGTCGGGTGAACTTCGAGAGAACACGTGCGAGAAATAGTCCCTTTCTCCGTTCGATCGCCGATCGAACTTTCACCGGCAGGCGCGAAACTGTATCATTAACACCTAAATCTTCATGAATTTGTCCGGTAATTACGTACCTTCCGGTTGATTATTCCAGAAAGGGAACCCCCGAAAATCAAAATGGACGATCTCGATATTAACGATGCGGGGGAGGGGGGGCTTCGTCGCAGGCATTAAGGGAAACGAGGCAGTGCTCGGTGAATTAAATTATGCCTCGTTCCTGTTATCTCGACGCGAGTTAATCTCTCAGGTTATCGCCGCGCAACAGTTTCTGGACTCTTAACGTGTCGCGACGTTAATCAACGCCAACTTTCGTAGATTTACGTTGAGACCGCGAGAGCATTAGATGGTTTAACGAGGAAGATAAACTGCGGCGCAGCTTCGAAATGACACTAGTTGGATCGCCGAGAGATTTATTCCCACTTTTATTTCGTTTGCTATATGGAGTATTTCGAGTTACTCCCTTCTATTGTTTCGGAATTGAAGGCTTGTGACAGTTGAATGGCTCGGAGGGCTGGTGCTTGCTTTACTGTCATCGACAGAGATTGTATAAAATGATTTACGAAGCTAAGAGACTCTTTTAATTTGATTTTATATCGTATTGCGTCATGTTTTTATGGGAAATTCCTTTACTATGGTATTGTATTTAAAAAAGGGTTGCAACATTCGGATGAAACCCTCCATTAAAACGAATATCCTCGGTGATTTAATTCCGAAGGGTGCGGAAAGTATTAAGCGATTTAATTGAGTATTATTATTCGTAATAAAAAAGCGTTATGGTCAGTGATTTTTGCAACGCGTACTCGTAAAACAGTGGCCATTACAAATTCATGGCTGATTAAATAACAGCTCGTTACGATTACCCGGACGAAATCCATCTCGTTAAGAAAACCGCGAACGACGCGTAATTACCCTTGTCGGATATTATAAATCTGAAGATTGCAAATTTCTGAGAGTCAACTGGAAGTGCTTTTAAAGCTTACGTCAGACCGACGTAAGACCTGGTCTTCCAAGTATAATAATAATTTATGCGAAATCCAAAACGAACGCCAGTAAAAATAAGATTTATCTTCGTTCGAACCAGAGAGCTCTGAGACGGCGAACTTGGCCGTGAGGATGGAAATTAAAGAGAGCGTTGATCTCGGGATTTGACCAAAAAAGAGGCGACCTTGTCGACCCAGGCGACCTCGTGCACCTGTTACGTCTCGCGCAGTGGCCCAGCCGAGGTTACGCGCAAACGAGTTTAAGTCACGAGCCGAACGAGATTTACTTTCACTGACCCCCGCCGTTCTAACGATAAGTGGATCCCAAGGCTGGCTCTTCCTCCAGGAAGCCGGTGTATGTAACTACCCATTTCCCTTCCTCTTCCTCTTCCCATCTCGATAATGAAGGACCGGCGAGTGAGAATTTTTATTCCCGTTTACTTCTTGAAAATCGGTAATCCAGGAAGAGGAAGAGGACTACGGAGATCGTGTGAGTCATGCGAGTGCCGGTGAGACATTACTTCGGACCTCGACGATCTCTGGTGTCTCATTTTGCAAAACCCGGTTCGAAAATAATTTTTGTGTAACAGACATTTCATGCGAAAGTGATGTATCAAACCACTTACCTGTATTTTAAATGTTCTACGTTTATTTTTATTTACAAAGTGTTAGTGAGGACTGTACGTCGGGACAGATACATTGGGAATCGATTGCTAATTAGTATCAATTAGCACGGGTGATTGGAAGCTTAAGTTAGCGTTTGCAGTTGCGTTTCTATATTTACAAGTTTCCTATCGCTTCAAGAATTTTAAATAGGTGATGCCTTCCGCGGTGTTGCGCAATATTTGACATTTGGTGGAGGCCAGGGTGAAGAATGATCGAACGCGTGGCCTTCGATCAATTCCTGCATTTAAGGAATTGCTAGACTGTTGGTACAAGACTTATTTCATGACGACGTGGGTGTCTTGTTAAAAATGTTAAAAGAACCCAGACAACCTGAATGGTATGACGAATGGATCTCATTTTAAGGAGACTGTGACATTCATCGTAATTAAACATTAACACTGAATTGCCTTGTTACATGTGTCAATAAATATACAGACATTTCGATAATTTTAATCACATGATCGATCAATCGTTCGAAGGAAACTATGCATTAACCTATTGAATGAGGGTCTGTGCGACGACAAATAAATAGCGATTTATTCACAAGTGAGGTGCACAGGGACGGCGACAAGTGCTCGGGGTGTGAGAGGGTTTACCCCGGAAATGAACTACTGGCTGGTCACGGTGAGTCTTTGGTGGAGGTGTCTTTTTTAACAGAGATTTCGTGCCATTCTGCTGCTCCGTTTTAGTCTTCATTGTCCGACCGAGGATTTACCTGTGTTGGGCGGCACGAATCCATATCCACTTGCACCAATTATTACTCCACTCGAGTCCTCGGAATTAGCTGGAGGACCCGGCGGGAACAGCACTGGACCTGAATTAAAATACAAAATCCATTAGCGATATTCTCCTCGAAAATGAAATTCTTCTTACTATGAATTATCCTTAGAGACTAATTTTATAAGTTAAAAATCGTGTAAGTCTCTAAATTGCTTCTGAACAGAAATAGAACGTGGGCAACCCTAGTTACAGGTCGGACAATAATCGTGCTGTCCTGCAACTTTTCAATTAACCCACTCAAGCAATTTGTGGTAAACAGAAAACAGGCATGCGAATTCTTAAACGTCATTCGTCAGACCGATAGTTAAACGCTTTCATAATATTCGACGACCCTATTCCGTTGGAATTTCAATCAGAAACGTCTCACCTCGAGTACACGCAATAATTATGAAAAATAGTAAACACCGCCTCGTAACCGGTTGTCACTTGCAATCATTCAAACTCAACTAGCATTCCATTCAGAAGCTATCAATACAATTACTTGACTTATATCCTTTATGCTGAGCAATTTTCTTATGAAAAATGCACTACGGACTGTATTACGAAATTCATTATGAAAAACGAAGATCTTACGATATAAGATTCGATCATTTATAACTCGATTGCAATTTACGGACGCAACATTCCAATGGGACAAGATTAACGAGATTGTACGAAAAAAAAATTGCGAATCGGAGCACAAATCGTTTCAAGTTTTACGGACTTCTTTGCACGAGCCGCGGTTTGGCCTTCACGGTCGCTGATCGCGATCACGGGACCCTTTGAGTCTTTCTCTTAAGTAATTTCATTTGCCGAACAATGTCCAATACAGTTGGCTCGATCACGACCGAGGACAGAGTCACGAACCGAGTTTCGTAACTTTTCATTAAATTATTGTGACCTTTCCAACAGATGAAATTTTGATCGCATTCTATTAGGAGCATACGTAACTTAAGCAGATTTAAAACGTTAGACGTAAACAGGAACAGTTATTTTATTTTGTCTTGTCCTCTGAACGGTGATCACATGTTTCATTATGAACGCCGCAAACGCATAAGCCTTCTCGTTAATGCGAATTACATTTACATACGTTTACGTAACAATGGATTAGGAGCACGAGTTATTTACTATAAACCTCGAGTTCTCTCACGATGAGAGAGCGGTTTTCAAGGAAAAGCGAATGGAAATCTGTTGAACAGGGAAGTAATTATTACCGCGAGCGAATATTAATCGGTGTGCTGTCATTTTGTGCCTACGGTCCCCTTAATGTCCGCGCGGGGAAATCGTTTTTACAATAAACATCAACCGAGATCTTGATCGAACTCGCGGCGAACTGTTGCGAAACCAGGACGCTCGAACACCTGATCAATTCTGTTCCGGCTAATTAACAATGGCCAACGACCGAGCTACTGTATCTCGTCAAGTGTTGTTTATGCAGAATCCTCGTGCCAACGATCTATATCAGTTACCTGTTTTCAAAATGAAATGGAACATATTTCCTAAGTTATAAAAATATTTGAAGTTTGCATAAATAAATCATTTGAATGTTCGTTCTCATTTTTACATAAATTATCTCATGAACGAGCGAAAATTATTTATCGAGAATTGATAATCGACTGACGGTAGGAGTAATGAACTAATTAAAGAAAACTGATTGAACAGGCGAACTAGATTGTGATACGCTTTCCCGGCGTTATTTATTGTACCCGAGTGTGAACTTGGCACCCATTCCGCTGGCGCGTTCCACTCGACAGCAAGGATCGCGTATCCTGGTTACGTATTAGTCGCACGTGGTGGCTCGCAAATGTCAGAACACCAACGTTGACCTTACACAATGGTATGTGATAAACGATTCGTCTGACTAAATCCTGTTATGAATCGAAATTGATCTTATCTTTGACTTGTCAGTTTTTCTATAACTCATTTTGTCAGTACATAAGATACATTTACTGCACATTCGATATGTAATAGAGTATTGTATATGCAAAATGGATCTAGTTGTCCATAGTGGAATCTACGTACTGTATAAACTAATACGTATGCCAAATGAAATTGCTTACCTCTGTTGGACCGTGGATCTCGCATCGCAGATGCTTCCCTGAGGTAAGGTCCGAATCCTGCGAACAGTTGACTGTAGTCCTGGGACGAAGCCACTGCCAGAACCATTAAAACCAACGTCACCAGAATCGTCTGAGAAAGAACGTCGAATTTCACATTTTTCGTATCGCTAATACTAGACCAAGATCAGGTGAATTATTCGCTAATCATTTTTCTAGACAAATTGCCCAATCTCGTGCGTTCGACAGATAATTAACGTACTACGGATGGTAGAGTTATTACACATCGACTCTGCTTTCACCCGTTTCGCAATTCCCTGACAAAAAACGGCTTTCGAAAAATCTAAAATCAACCTGATCGCAATTAATTTTAATGGGGCTCGGTAAAAAAAGTTCTATCCGAACGAGATTCGAAAGTATTATTAAAAAGATTGGTAGCCAGAATCGAGTCGGAGCAAAATTGTACACCGTGAAATCAATATGTTAATTAATTGCAGAGTATGTGTCGATCCATTGGACGCTAAAGAGCCAGGGGTCAGTATCGGGTGATGCAAACCTTCTATTTCAGTCGATTCTATTGAGCTGCAAGATGGAAAAAGGCGATTTGCACCTGCGACGGGCAATGATCATCTCGGTTTTCATCGTGTTCGCCGTGTTCTGTTATGTAAAATCTGATGAAATCGTTACGCGCGCTTACGATCGAGGATTCCATCGACGTTACGAGCCTGGGAACGCCTAATACCTGTCAGAATACATAATTGCTACAATGATCCGAACGAGTATACGCTCGATCCCCTTTATCGGTTCTCCGTATCGAATGCAACCTGAACACGTAATGGATCAGCGATTCTTTACCCCGATTCGCTTGACGCAATGTCAAGGCGATTAACCGCCTCGTTACGAGATACTCTCGTCTGATATTATTCTACACATGCTTCACCATTAGCTTTACAAATTATATTTAAGGCTTGTAATTGAGAATTCCAAGTGTATTATCAACCATCGTGTTCTCCATTGATTATACATATATAAACTCTGTGCGCGCTCAGGCTATTAATTACATATGTCAGATTAGAGATATAAAAAAATTAGCTAGAACGGCTCGTTTATTACTTACACGATTTCTCGATACACTTTATGGCCATAAAACTGGATAAAAATCATCCATTCCAGATAACAATTAAAATTCACGTCTCGTGAAATTCACTGATAAATCTAATCTAACACGCGAATTTATCATAATTATATGCACCGTCAATTAATTATGAAATACTCATTGGGATACTTTTACGCGATTGCGACTGTGAGTGAAGTCACCCTGTTTTTCTAGCTCGTTAAAGGAATGTGTGTCGAGACTCCACCTCGTCTTTAAAGGGTTAACCAACTCCGTTCAAGGTAGCGTGAACGACATTGAAGGAAACGTTGGTAGATTTTCGCGAAGAAGTCACGCGCGCGCTCTTTCGATTGTATGTGTTTTACAGGGAGGCACGAGGTCGCCCACAAACCGCGGCACACATGTGCGTAAACCGTGACGACAGATCACGCCGCGCCGATATCCAAGTAAAACCCGACGCGCCGATCGTCTCCGACGGGCCCATGTTTATACAACGTTCCAACCTAGTTGTAAAATTATTACAAGCACCACGTGCTTGAGAAATTATAGTGTGACTCGAGAATTTCATGTTCTCCATACGATTTTTCATCGGATCATTTGAATGTTTTTAAACCGATAAGCGATGACGAGATATATAATGGTGCAATGAGCAATTTACTGAAGCGAGATTGTGAATTAACTAAGGCTTAATGAACCGAACTGATGAAGGGTTGCAGCACTAGTTCCAGAGAAAGTTTGTAACACACTGACTTATAAACTATTCTCGTAGGTGGAATGCTATACGACTTAGTGGCAGTTAACTGCTCATTTCTCAGTTCGGCCATTTTTCCAAATAATTAGAATAATTAAAGATTAGATCAAATGTCATTTAGAACTATTGGTAAACGCGAAGCAGGTTCTGTTCACGATTTGAAAGTGAAATGTGCAATGATATATATCAGATCTTTGAATGATACCACACGTGCATTATTTTACTATGTAAATATACGAAAGGTGTAAACTACTGTGCTATTTAATTATCTGTACCACTTTACTCTGAAGTTCGGTTTAATTTCATTGCGAACATTGTAAGAATTTATTAAAGTGTTGCGAGTATCAGGGAGAATTTCATCCGCCTTTCTACTTGATAACGAACAAAAGAGCGTGTCTATCGGTTCGGTTACGTTTACCTTATAATCCATAAAGCCTGCAGTGCCCATTCCCTTTCGAAATACCGCGATCGACGGCGCGAGACATCGAAAACACTACCGAACGCGATTTCCTCGTGCCGTGCGATCGATAAACATCCGTGTAAAATCTAATTGACCGAATCACGAAACCGATGTAACGCTCGCTTTCCCTGATATCAATCGCCGTTCCCGATTTGTAGCTGGTATCAGATGATTTGTAAATTGAATTGCGTGGTTTATTAGATATTGCTGATTCATAAATTTGGACCGATTGTAGATTATAAAGTGGTCGTATCTGATGATCTTCAGTCCGTGTACGAGTCTCCATAGCCAATTACGTGATCGCGTTTAAGGATGTATTGGCTATACAACCAATCCCAAAAGTTTATGCACTTTAGAAACGCATTTTTTCAAAAGAAATCAGACGTCGGAAGAACATTGCTAATAATAAACAACAACAAAATTTTTTCGATTTTTCCGAGATTTTTCCAAGGGGTACCCCTTCAATTTCTTCCAAATTTTCGTTTTTGGTCAATAACTCCCAAACCGTTGGACATACGGAATAATTGCATATGACCTTTCTTGTAGAGGACGACGAGATCTACAATTTTCATGTAAAAGTTCTTCGTTAGCATCAATAGTTTACGAGTAATTTGCAAAAAACCGTTTTTTCGTTTTTCGTCAATAACTCGTTAAATATTAATACTAGCGAAAAACTTTTACATGGAAATTGTAGATCTCGTCGTCCTCTACAAGAAAGGTCATATGCAATTATTCCGTATGTCCAACGGTTTGGGAGTTATTGACCAAAAACGAAAATTTGGAAGAAATTGAAGGGGTACCCCTT